TAGCGAAATTCAATTTCCCACGACTCGACAAATGGACTTTGCACTGAAAGAAAAAATATCTAAAAGATAGTAAATAATATTAAATAGATTTATTTAATAGGTACACAGCATATATTTTTAAACTTATATAAAATATTTTTCAAGTAAGAACATTTCCTTAGAATCTTAAGGAAACCTTTCACGAAAGCAGTTATTTATTCCGTTTAAATAAAATATTTAGGTAAATATACTGTTAGTATCCCATTATATAAAGAAATATTTACTAGTTTTTAATATTTCTTCTCTCAGTGTACATGGTCTTTATTCCCACTCCTCACGATTGAAACATTAAATCCGTGCAGAGCGAAAACTCGGAATGCTCGTGGGAACCAGGTGGGATGAATACGGTCGGACGTCGTTTTAATTCGAGACCCATGCTAATGGGAATATTAAAACCAAGTTCGCTCGTGGCTGTTCGTCGTCACAATTTATTACGATCGCGTACGCTAAATTCCCTTTGGCGGGTATATTAAAATATAATATAGCACAACATTATAATATTCATTATAAAATTCTCTTTCCAGAAAACACAGAGTACAGAGTCCATCAAAAGAATGAAACGAGTCACATTGATTAAAAACTCTTATTGAAATGCAAAGTCCCTTCCTATCGCGATTACTGTATTTATACGAGGACAACATTGGTGTGCAACAAGAGCGTGTTCTGTATTATGCAACGAACTTTCCTATTATCCAATACTCGAGTAACAAGACGACACTTTTTTAATTGAACTTTTCCCTCCGTCGAGAGTTCGGCAGGGTCGCATTCCCTCGTTTGCACGGCGCCACGATTTCGCTCTCGCGCTGATGCGCGCGGTTTATTTACGGCTGCGGTGCGTATATGCGTTTCACGAGATTCTTCTGGCGTCACACACCACGGCGAGATGTGCATCATCCACGCTATCACCTGATACGTGAAATGCAATATAACTGTGCCCCGAGTATCGTTAAAAATACCATTCGCTCACGTCGCGCAATAACGTTGCATTACTTTGACGCACACATCTGTTAGGCGAGTCGCACTGCATTTTAATACCTGCATACGGAATGTCTCCATAATCGTGCACTTTTGCACGCATTTCAATATTCATTTCTTCAACGGATAATTGCAATTTAATTGGCGAATTCAGCGCAAAATTTAAAATGATTAACTGAATCTGTTCCTCGATCAGTCTCGACCACACACAGAAAATTTTATAGTACAAATTGCTACAGAATTCTGTAGATCAACACTTTGCAGTAATCGATTATCCTTTCATTTCGTGTATGCTATCGAAAAATTTATTTCCAGCGAAATTTCATGTGTCCAAGATAAACCAAGATAAACCAAGATAAACTAAAAGGTTTGTTTCTACATCACTAGAAACAATCGAAAAGAATTTATATATATAAAAAATTTATATAAAAACAATATTCTCTCTCTCTCTCTCTCTTTTTCTCCGCGTGTAGTATTTATTTCATCAAAATTGCACACATCCTTAGCGTATCAATATGACATAGGGACGAGAAAGCGATATTCAATATTAATTTTTTGCGCAAAGTACACGAGGAAAGTTTTTCTCTCTTCAGGAATCTAATATTAAAAATGAATATTGGGGAGAGTGATCCATTTGCAGATCCTCGTTGAGGGGGAGCTCAACTCGAGAGAAAATACCGTGGGTCCCTCCTTAGGGAGAAGTCACACCTTGGTAGGAAAGGTGTGTGGGAACTCGTAGCTTCTTCCCTTCTACCAAATTGTGAATTCTCCCTTACACGCACACCCTATATACGAAGCTTTCACGACGAGGAAGCTCGCGTGGAACGAGCGTAATTCGAGGCAACATTTCTCTCTCTCTCTCTCTCTCTCTCTCTCTCTCTCTCTCTCTCTCTC